AATCGCTTAGGCGGTTACAGCGCCAAAAAAGAAGAAGAAGAAGAAGCTTAACTTCGACAATTCTTATGCAATTTCATTAAGTGAGGTATCAATTTATTTGAAAATAAATGTTCTTTAAGGTAAATACTACATATTTGGCAACTTTCATACAAATGTCTAGTTTAACAGCAAAACAAAACTTAGAAACTTATTTTAACATTTTAAAATCACGGTTTTATTTAAAATTAAAAATCTGTTTTTGTGATAAAATGCATTTTAAGTTGACTATGACAAAGTTAAAATGGTGATTATTTAAAAACACAATTTAAGTCGTTGAAACCGTTTTCTAACTTCTCTACGACTACGCTCCAATTGAGCCAAACTTATAATTATAACTCAACGGATAAATTTGTATTAAAAATCTAATTTTTAAACTCCTTTTAGAAAATGACGCAGACCAGTTTAATATGGTTAAATGTGTAGGATGGAAGGCATGTCAGAATCCGATCAAATATTGAAACAATTCGGGGGAAAAAAAACAAAGATATCGTTACGTTTACCATAAATACCATATTTTAACTGTACTCATAATCGTATTTACCTTTATCTACATATCGTGTATTTAAATTTTTTATTTGCACTTAAATTTCTGGGATAGTTCGTGAATCGTGCGCGTAGTCTATTTGTCAATCAATAAATTTATAAAAACTAAATCGATAAACGACACTAACAATAATGATTTTTAGGAGATTTACCACTTACTTTTTTGATTTTTCTCAATTATTGGTGTGCGATCGCCGGTAGCACTCTTACTATTACTGCCACCGTTGCTGCCCATGTTCTCTCTTTCGCTAGGACAATTTGCGCAGTTTGGTGGCCTCGGAAGGCGGCGCCGCAACCAAGGATGCTTAAGCGCTTCTGCAGGCGTCAATCGTTTTTCTGCATCCCATTCCAGACAACCTCTAATGAAATTTAAGAACAACGCATCTTTGCAACCATCTAAAGCTTTTGACAGACTTTTGGAGCATGGTGGTCCACGTGGCTTTCCTCTACGCGATTGGCCACCTATTAATACGACTGTACCATCGGTCATAGTGCGTACAGTGCAGTACCTTGGAAAACCCTTTGGATTAAAAAAAGCTTTGGCGCGTTTAGCATTGGTTAGCAAGTTTTTGTTAGGCATTCCTAGCACTTCTATTATGCATGCCAATTGATCACTTTCGTTTTCTCCAGGGAATAGAGCATGGCCAGAAAGCAATTCAGCTAAGATGCAACCCAATGACCACATATCGATCGCACGTCCGTATTTAGATCCAAGTATAACTTCAGGTGCGCGGTAGAAACGCGACTGGATATAGGTGTAGACACGTTGACTTTCATAGCACGATGAACCAAAGTCGATCACCTGAGTAGAGAAAGACGCATTTATGCAAACTCCACAGCATGGCGAAATTAAACGAAACCGCTTATAATTGGATATTTCGTGAAACATACGAAACAATTAACAACAATAATAGTAATAATAATAATAATAGATTGTCGCTTACAAATATGTTAGTGTTTGGCAAAGCTTCTTCTCCGATTTGTGGTGAGCGCCTTGATGTGGTCGCACAAAGGAGAGGGACCTACAGTTTCACGTCGACTACGAACGGCGATTGCATTTTTATGAGAAATGGCAGAAATACACTCGGAGGTTTGCCATTGCCTGCCGAGAGGCGATCGCTACTAGAAAAAACTTTATTTTTTTTTTTTTGTTGAACAGGGCTTGAACCCAAGCTCTGCGGAGTGGTAGCGCGCATCACTAACCACTAAATTCGAATAGATACGAACATTTTCAATTTGACATTGGGTTCAGCGATTGATTTTTCGCGAAAAACTGACTCCGATCGACCGAGGACTTGTCCTGATTATGGTTACAATCCCTCCAACTTGTTATTCAAGAAACTAGTTAATACAGTTATTTGATTATTACCGTACGTTTAATTATTTTCTCAATAACGTTTTCCGAAATAAAAGAGTAAAAAATGTTGAATAAAAAATTTGAACAGAAATTTATTTTAGATAACAAACTCAAAAAATTGTAAAGCGGATAGTTAAACTTGTTGTTTATGATTTCATAAAGGGTTAAATGCACAGCGGGTCGACGGAAATTCTCGTAGCTAATACTTCTGGGCAGTGGCCAGCGCTGCTTACTCCGTTGCAGGTTAGATTAAGACCTGTATCTCGACTAATTGTACCGGTGCAAGCAGCAGATATTTAGCTAAGACCCTTGTGTGGGTTTGCATCCCTTCCCCAGAGTGACGATTTAGCTGAACAAAAATAAAACACTAATAAGATTGATTATGTGGTACGATTTAAGCAAGAGATCTACCTGTACATAATTTTCTGTTATTATTATTTATTTCATGTAAATATCAAAATGTAAATAGTGCATTGGAACGTAATCCCCTTATTGTATTGGTTTCTTGTATCGTTTAACATTGTTTTGTTTAACACGGCATTTCCCAGGAACGATTGTCCGAGATCTACTTGTACATAATTTTTCTGTTATTATTATTATTTATTTCATGTAAACATCATGTTTCATATTAAAGTGGACAAATACATTTTTCGCAGGGAGTCGGTAAATTTATATTCTTTTATAACAGCATTATGTCAATTATGGCCAAACAAGTATATTATTTAACCAAACATAATTTTCTTATTCATTGGAATTCGATTTCCCACATTTTTACGAAGAAAAACCTTAACCCTTGACGACCAATGGGTCATAAAATGCCACTTTTTAATTTGTGGTTTTAATGAAAAAGTTTCAATGCAGTTTTTTTTAATATTCATATCAACGAGAAAACTCCACCTAGTTATAAATGCAATTTATAGAGTCGCTAATTTGAAAAACATTGCCAAATTATATTTTATATTTTGTATTTGTCTATCAGCTGATTCGAATAGATTATTTGGTAGGTGTAAACAAAATACAATTACTCCTAAAGTGATTCAAAGGGAAACCTAAATTTTTGTGAGGACTTTCTAAAAGACTTAAAACAATATTTATATAAAAATTAAATGAGGGTACTCCGGGGTACTTTTTTTATCATCTACAGAATAACTTATTTCCAGTTAATTTTATAGAACTTGTTTAAGTAATTACAATTTTAAAACTGTTATGATGGATTTCCACTAGGCATTAAATGGCAAAAATGGCAAATGACAAAGTAACCGTGGAAACACAATGCCGGCGAACGGCGAACTAACCACAACGAAATTCCCACTGTCGAAATAAGAACACCCGCCGACATATGAAATTGCACACAGCCAAAGCGAAATGCGAAGTTTGCTCGGCGGCGTTTCGTGGCGATAGATTTATTTCTATCGCTCTGCTGGGCGATGGCGGCAGTACATGCCAAAGGTGGCCGTATTATATTTTTGCTTTCAAAGATTTAGAAGAAAACAACATATAACACGAATTATTTTTGTTTGTTGAAAAATACAGTGATCGATTCGTAAAATCTGGCTTTAAATAAAATTATTTATAATAATTCCCCCTTTCCTTATATTTATATTTGTTATAATTTTATCATTTCTAAATATGGTTTCGTTTTTCAAAATATGGTCACCTAAATTATAAGTGCGACGAAATGGTATCAGCTGCTTTCGCTATCGCTCTAATTCTGTTAAAGTTGGCGAAATAGCAGGGCGAACGGTGAACGACGGCATCGCCCAATTCGGCGAGCTTCGCCGTTGATGTTGTTGTAGCGGCTACAACAACCCCGCCCAGATCGGTTGATATCTCAGTCGTTGTCGTCGAGTTCCACTAACGGCAGCCCTAAGAAGCGTGAAGCCTCTACGGGGTCGGTCCACAGGTACAACGTCGTTAGGGTTGTCGGGTTTTTCGGGCATGCGAAGAGATGTTTCGAGTCGTGAGGGGTCTCTCCGCATGCCGGACACTCATTTGGCACATCCTCATTTAGTCTACTCAGGTATGAGTTTAACCTGCTGCAGTAGCCAGAAGCGAACTTGGGCTATTGTTGTTCTTGTCTCCCGAGGCAAATGGAGCTCCGTCGCGTCAATGTCCGGTGTTTGTGTGCCTAGAACGCCATTCACAGGTCTAGAATCTACATAACTCGAGACTGAGTCCCTGTGAATGCCGTTCAGGGCATGTCGGTATGCTGACGGGTCCAGAGGTTGCTTGATGAACCTCTGGACTTCGTCAGTCAGTTCATATAGATTCCTCCTGACGTGTCTAGGCGAGGGCTCCTCTGCAAGCAGCTGTCTGTTTGGGTGGCCGCATCTGTGGCTCCCAACCAGAAACTGCTTGCAGAGCATTATGTTATGCTCCCTAATTGGGAGCATTTTCTCCTCGTCATGAAGGTGGTGTTCGGGTGACATCAGGAGGCATCCGGTCGCGGTGTTCTGTGCTGTTTGTAGCTTCATCCACTGCGTCCTACTAGTCCCCGGCGACCACACTGGTGCTGCGTAGTTTAAAACCGGCCGGCCTATTGCCTTGTATGTTGCCAGCAACGTTTCTTAGTCTTTGCCCCAGGTACTGCCGGCTAGCGACTTGAGGACTTTGTTGCGGCTCTGTACTATGTTGGCAATAGCGGTTGCGTGCGCAGAGAAGGAGAGCAGGCTGTCGAATGTTACTCCGAGTATTTTGGGATTATTCACCGTCGAAGAAGTGAAGAAGCGAGAAAGATCGGAGAGATACCCATTTACTTTCGAACACAAGCCATCAATTCCATTCCCAGTCGCCATGATCGAGCAATCGTCGGCGTAAGAGACAATCGAGACTCCCTCTGGTGGTGGAAATATAAAAGTTGAACAGTAGCGGGGAAATGACACCACCCTGTGGAACCCCCTGTTTGTTTTTCCTAAGTTTGCTCGATTTGTCTCTAAACATTACCGACGAGTAGCGACCACTCAGATAATTTGCCGACCACCGTTTGAGCCTCTGTGGGAGAGAGGAAGTCTCTATATCTTCTAGTAGCGTGGAATGGCTGACAGTGTCAAAAGCCTTTGACAGGTCTAACGCTACTAGAATCGTTCTCTCACAGGGACGGTTACGGTTAAGGCCACGAGTTATCTGAGTGTTTATGCACTTTACTGTGCACTGTGCACTTTACGGAAACCATGCTGATGCTTCGCTGGGGTCAGGTGGTTCGTGAAATACGGGAGCAGCAAGGCCTCTAGTGTCTTCGCTACCGTGGAAAGGAGTGTTATCGGTCGATACGAATCTCCTTTGTTGGCTGATTTCCCCGGTTTGAGCAGTTGGACCACTCTCCCCACCTTCCAGATGTCTAGGATGATGAGAGTAGCCATTGACAAATTGAGGACCTCCGTTAGGTACGCTACTCCCGCAGGACCCAAATTTTTCAGCATCAACATGCATATTCCGTCGGGACCCATGGCTTGGAGGCTTTCGCCTTCCCGATGGCCACCTGAACTTCACCGCAAGTGAAAGCAAGGGGTGCACAAGTGGTTGGCAGTTTGTGCAGCCTTCTGGTCACTCGATGCTTGGTTTTGTCCACCGGAGGATGCAGTATGAACTGCCGGCTAAAGTAGCTCGCGCATCGCTCCGGGTCCGACGAGGCATGGTCGCCAAAAGAAATTTCGACTGTCGTCATGCTTCGTCGGATTGGACAGTGACCTCACGGTTGACCAAAGCTTACTCACACCAGAGGTGAAGTTAGAGGTCTTCATATGTTCTTCCCACTTCTTCCGCTTATGTACGTTCACTAGTTGCCGAATCTCCGCGTTGAGATCCCTGATACGGGGATCTCCGAGATCGGCCTGACGAAGGCTGTCACGCTCATCGGCTAGAACAGCCGCTTCTGCAGGGAAATTTGGACGTGGGTCCGTGATCATCCTGCCAGTACGAAGCGGGCTGCAGCAGCAGTGACAGCCCTGCGGAACTTACGTTCACCAATGTGGACGTCGGTTGGTGTGGGGAGAGCAGCCTAGGTGTTTTCAGTAAATTCCGCGAAGCCTTTCCAATCAGCTTTGGCGAAGTTGATATATGTTCGGTGCTCCGCGGAAGCAAAGTCGGTTGGTTTATCGATCGAGATGACTATGGGCAGATGGTCTGATGCCAAAGTCAGCATAGGTCGCCATGATGCGCTGTTTATCAGACCAGCGCTGACTGTTGGCGAGCTGCAGCAGGTGCCCATAATCCTGGTGGGTGCGTCCTCGTTCATTGTGCAGAATGTCGAATCGTCTATCTGCTCAGCCAAATCGGTCCCCCTACGATCGTTTGACAGGATTGAGTGCCAAAGATCGAGGTGCGCATTAAAGTCACCTACTATCATTCGGATTTCACCTCTGAGGAGCGCACCTATATCAGGGTGATATCCTGCCGGTCAACAGGTGACAGGGGGTATGTATACGTTGACTATTTCGAGCTCAACA